CCACCGAGTGGTCCATCCATCAAAACCATGAAAGAGCAGAACGTGCGTAGGAGAAAGGGGAATACTATCACCCTTTCCTGCAATATCAACCTTTCTGATATGGCACACAGGATGCAAAGTAATTTTCAACGGAGCTCTACACTCTCCTGCTTTCACTTACCAAATTGAGTGGTCTTCCTTTGTAGCCGTATAGTACTCCATGAAAAGTAGTAGCAATTATGGAGGAGGCATGCAAACATAGATCTGGGAAGACCAGGGAAGGGGGATAAGGTAGATTTCTGGCTAAGAACTTAATGGTTTGTTTTCTTCTGTGTCTTCTTTCTTGCGTCTTCTTTCTTTCTTCTTCAACAGATCCGCTCTCGCAGTGGTAGTGCTCTCTTACAGTCCCAGTCCAGCACTGAAGACACAAAGGAGGAACCTCCAGAGATCAAGCAGGAACCTGATGATCCTTCTGCCCAAGTGTCTGTCCTCAAGGCTGTTTCTGAAGATGTTAATGAAATGAAAGCTAGGCGAGACGAAGAGGAACGGGAGCGAGAGAGACGGGAGAGGGAGAGGGAACGAGAGAAGGAAAGGGAGAAAGAGAGAGAGCGAGAGAAAGAGAAAGAAAAGGAGAAGGAACGAGAACGGGAAAAGCAGAAGCAGAAGGAATCTGAGAAGGAGAGAGAGTCCAAAGAGAAGGAGAAAGGGAAGCATGAAGATGGGAGAAAGAAGGAGGCTGAAGTGATCAAGCAACTGAAGGCTGAGCTCAAGTAAGAGTTGTTGTCCCTCTCTTTCCTGCTTGAGTAGTGCCTGAACTGGGGTGTTTGTGTGAGATGACTTGTAGCTCGCTTTTACAAGATTAGTTTCAGTGGAGTGAAGTGAGAGTTTTCTGGCACCCTCTATATCTGCTTGTGATTTGGACAATGTAGTAACATTTCTTGTACTGCAGCCTAAGGCGTGAATTACCAAACCAGATACTTCATAGTGTGGGTCAAGTAATCTTTACTTGCTGCTGTCATAACAATTGCATAAAGCTTTTCAGCAGCAGGTTATTAATAAAGGGCACAGTAGTTGCCTTTGTCTTGGATCAGTACCAAAGCAGAGATGGGTAGTTTGATGCTTACTATTAGGGTACCTGTTTCCTCCCCACGGTGCTGCTCTTGGCTTTTCAACTCATGTGTTGGAGCTTGTTTCTTTTCAGCCTCCAGCCTGAACTCCTTTCACGTTACAAGGGTAAGAGGAGCCAAGGATGACTCCATATGCATACCGTGTGGGAGATGAAGAGAATATTGCTCTGACTCTCATGCTGGATATGTAACAGCATAGCGTTCCTGCTGTGTTCTCACAGTTCTCTACCTCCCTCTCTCCAGGAAGGCCCAGGAGAGCCAGAAGGAGATGAAGCTGTTGCTAGATATGTACCGCTCTGCCCCCAAAGAGCAGAGAGACAAAGTGCAGCTGATGGCAGCTGAGAAGAAGGCAAAAGCTGAGGTAAATCTCACTTCTCTTCCCTTTTTAGTGTGTTACTTAAAACTTATTTTTGGATGCTCTGCACCTGAACTGTGGTATTTTTGTCTTCAAAACTGGAGATCTTTCCTCTTTTCATCTTCGTAATTTATAAGAGAGATTGGAATGGTCTGGAGAGGAACAGGGAGGTTTTGGGATGTCCTCCTCTGGGAAAGGATGATCCCTTTGCCCAGGCTGAGGGACACAGCTCGCACTTTCTCAGTTGCAGATTCAACCAGTAGTGAAGCTGAGCACATGCCCCAGAGACATAGATACACAGAAGACACGGCCATGGCCAGTCAGACTGCCGCAGACTGAGTGCTGCCTTCAACAGCATGTGCGTACAGGACTCACAAAACACAAGTGTAGACAGACAAGTCCCCTTCCTCCTCTTCAGCTGGTAGAGATAGAACCTCAATAGTGCAGGCACATGCACAAGAGTCTCTAGGTTCACGAGTACACACACGCTCTCAGACCTCTCAAGTACCAGCATGGCCCCTCTGTCTGTCTGGTACCCCTGTGATCCTGGGCCCTCTTACCTTCTTCACATACAGGTCTCACCTGTAGCTACAACTTATTCCATGCAGCACACATACACGTAGGGTACAGATTAGATTACACAGAGATAGTTAAGAAAATATTTAACAAGAACATAGAAGGAGTTAGGAGAGGCCGCGGTGACCATGTGCAGGGCTCAACTGGACAAGTGTGTACTGACTGTCCCGTTTTACATGTGACCGGCTCCTTTTATACCCTTCTTGAATGCTAATTTTTTCATCCTTGCTTTTGTTTCCCCTGCACGTCCCTCCTGGGTTTGTACAGATCTGTCAATTCCCACAGCCCTCTTAATCCAGGATCCACCCCTGGTTTACAGTCTTATCAGTTGCAAAGCCCAGGTTGATCTTCCTGGAAGTGGTGCCTGTAGTTTCTTGGTAGCTTATCAGCTATTGTGACGGAGGAGGTTTGTTTCTTGTCTTTGTCTCCATGTCTGTTTTGTTAGGTCTGTGTTTCTGTATATTTTGTTTCTCGTTTCCCCCTTCCCCGCCCCCCTCCACCTTAGTTTCCCAAGTGGCAGGGTCCACAGTCAGATAACATTGCTGGAATAAGCATTCTCACACCCTTGCATGCTGTCATCATTTAGTGTGACTGACCAGGTTTGGCTCTCATTGCTGTCTCTCATATAATTTGTCCGTCAGGTTTGTGTCTCTGTATGTTTTGTTTATGGTTTCCTCCTGCTCTTGTAGCCTTTTTTGTATTGAAAAGGGGCCTTGACCAGACATTCTTAAAAGAGCAGACGCTCTCCATCCACATAGTAATGTTCCTGCTCTGATAAAGGACGCAATGGAATTTTCAAGGGTTTTGAAATCAAGATTTTGGGCCTACAGCCCATCTTAGTGGTCCATCTGCCAGTAATACGCTGTCTTATCCAGATGAGATGGGTGTTATTTTCCCATGCTTCAAAGGCAGTTTCTGCCATATTTCAGAAAATTGTAGGGGAAACAGGCTCTTAACAATGTTCAGGCCACACTCTTGTGTTTAGAATCATAGAATTTCTAGGTTGGAAAAGACCTTAGAGATCATCCAGTCCAACCGTCCCTAATCCCCCATTAAACCATGTTCCTGAGCAGTTCATCCACCCTTTTCTTAAACACATCCAAGGATGGGGACTCAACCACCTCCCTGGGCAGCCTATTCCAGTGGCTGACAACCCTTTCAGAGAAGAAGTTCTTCCTAACATCCAACCTGAACCTCCCCTGACTAAGCTTATACCCAGTTCCTCTTGTCCTATCACGCATCACTAATGTAAAGAGCCCTTCCCCCACTTCCCCACCATCCCTTCTCAAGTATTTGTAGGCCGTAATGAGGTCTCCCCTCAGCCTCCTCTTCTCCAGGCTAAACAGCCCCAATTCCGTCAGCTGCTCCTCATAAGTTTTATTTTCCAG